CGTCGCCTTCTGATGTACTCCAAGGTTGTTTGGTGCATTCTTTTCGCTCAGTTTCCGAACGAAATTTAATGACACACTTGTTTTGGGTAGGTTCCCTAATAATGGCCCTCACGAGCGTGTGACGCCATCCTTTTTCAATAAATATCTTCGATAAACATCATTTGAATGATCTGATGTCATTATTTTGCACATTTGCTCTGACTTTGTCTAGTTTAAGTTGCTAATTTGAAATATTAACATTTCCAAAATTTCAGCCATCTTGGTTCACGTTTTGTTCATGAGATCTCGCGAGATCGTCCTGGTGGGTGCTGTTTCGCTAGTGAAATCCAAGCGTCAGTAGTGATGGCAATTCCTTCACATTGAACCAATAATGTCAAGGTTTCTGCTTTTGCAGTATGGTATTTTTTATCTAGATACTTTGAAAGAGTTGTACCGCTGGGAGCCTTATATTTGGGTTTAAGTTGCCTCAGGAAATACCGGAAGCCCTCCCCCTCCATTAACAACAGTGGATGCATGTCCACTGCACACATGATGGCAGCAGCCGGATGGAGTTCCATGCGTTTCTCATTGGATATTGGTTCTGAACTTTTTTATGTCAAATAGCGACATCAGTTTCAATTTGGAACCAGGAGGATTTGAATTTTTTGATTTATCAGCACTGAGGTTGAGATGGTGCATGGAGTTTAAGTGGGTTCTCATCCCTCTAGTACTCCTTGATATTTAATGCATGACTTGCATAGCTTGCAAGTCACGCTCACCAAGTTTTTGTTCCAGGAAAAATATTCCCAAACAACTGACACTGACCTTGCCTGATCAGCCATTTTGGTTCTAGGGTTAGAGGCACCACCTGGTGAGTGGAACTACCAGTAGAAAATTGGAAATGTTTTTCAGTTTTTATTTTAATTTGAGGAATGATTACGTAAACTATCTGGCTGTAGGTGTCTTATTTCAAAGCAGGAATTATTGATAAACAGGTAAGACATTGATAAATCACGGCCATAAACTGCGTTTTGTGTGAAAAGGGAGTAAATCCATCACAAAAATCTATCGAATGTACGAATTTGCAAACGTGAACCAAAAAACCACTTTTGTGTCATATTTTTTCCTTTTTTAGAGTTTTACCTGTTTTGTTATTCCCCCACTTTGCGGCACTGCTTGGAGCTAGGCCTAACTTGGGGCTCCGTAAGCTAATTGCTTTTAATTATTTATGACAAATAAAATGCTACAAAACAATTCATTTGATAATGAGATCAATTTAATAATGAGTCAAAATCAAAAACATTACTGAGAAAATGACGTTACCTTTTAGCCTATCAAGGAGATAATCAAGTCATGTTGGTGTTTGATTTTTACATGGGTCAATTTTTGTTTCTTGGCAGAGACTAGTTTCTTATTTGTCACTGGACCTAATGCAGTTAGTGCTTCCCAATGCATGTCCCAATGCAATTTTTGCTGTGGTAATACTGTGTTTTCCTTTGCCAGTTTTCCATTCTCATTCCTGGGATGTACATGAGGGATAGGTGTCGCCAGATCGCCAACAATAATCTACCATAAAAAACGTGGCAATAATGTGTATGCAACTCTATTCTAGGCCAGCATAGCAGGTCCAATAAGCCAGGTACACTGTTCCATCTTTTTTTTTATTATTCACTAAGGCCGATACCTTGTATGGAATGTTATTTATACATGCAGATGACTTACATCTAGCAGATAAAATGCATATAGAACTCTCTTCAACAATCCTGTCTTTATAATTATTTAGTAAAATGTTTCTGCAAATTGTTCATCTTCATATTTTCACAAATACTCTTTAATGTATTCAGGTTGCCATGGTTTCATTCCATTATCACTCTCATTGATCAAATTTCGACATGCTTAAAATTAGGGATGTAAATGACCTGGAATTGTTTGTCCATTTATATGAAGAAGGTTTTTGTAGTCTAAAATAATTTGTTTTTTTCCACTTATTTCTTGTCTGGAAGGTCAGGTATCTCAAATTCCCATGCTGAAAATGCTCTGGCTGCAAGTGTCTTTATTCCCATTCACTTTTAAACCTTGCCTCTAAGGATCACTCTCAAAGCCTCATTAGACATCATTAAAAATGTTTTCTCTGCAGACATTTTTATTAATAAAAACTAAATGTGAAAACAATTGGAGTAGTCTTGTGACCCATATAAGCAGAGGGAATGTTGCCATTCTCAATGGCATATTTTACTATCACGGCCTTGCCCTCATCAGTCAATATCTTGTACTACCCCTTGTCCTGACTTAAAAATTTAACTTGGATTTGAAATATTGTGTATGTTTACAAAGCCTGGGGATCTATTAGTCTATCCCGTTAGATGTCCTTCCCAAACCAATTCAAAATACCCAGTTTTTTAAAATTAATTTCATTGATATACTAGTGCTATAAATATTCTAATACCCTAGTCTTTTCTTCTCTAGATCTACTTAAAATTTTAACAGCACCATCCATTTTTCTTATACCAATACTAAAAACCCGAAGTTCTGAAGTGCACCAAACAAAATAGATGAAAGTCATATTCCATGGGATTTTGTCTAATTTGGTTGATTTTTTTCATATGCAGTGACTTGCAAAGTGTGACAACCTTTTTCAAAGTTCCGGCTACAGTATAAAGATGCACATCAGGATGTTCTTCGATATAAACAAGATTATGTTCTTGACCACTCTTGATTTTTGACTAAGTATGAAAGAGGGGCATTCCGAAACTGACTGTACAATCTTAACTATCCAGACTAATCAAAAATTTCAAACTGCTGCCTTCCACTGGTCAGCTGTTACGGCACCATTTCCCATTTCTTAGCAGGGCAATATTGATAGTGTCACGTATTGATAAACAATTGGCCAAGCCCAGTTGTGCCACATGAAATTGCCACAAGACTTACAAATATTTCCACTTACATATATTTCCAGTAGATATTTTAACATAAGGTTTCATCACTTGCTCCACATTGTCATCAAGTCTTTTATTACTGGCGTACAAGGTGAATGAGGCAATGTTTTGAGATAAAGATCTGTTCACTTGTTGTGTTGGGAGCATAATACCCTGTTGCAGAGGGAAAGCTGGCATAATTTGAGTGATTGTTCTCCCTGTCCTAAACCTTGCACAAGGGATTGGGCTTGCATCATTAGTGGAATTATAAATTAAGTTTCAGATGGTGCCTGAACCATTAAAGGCTGGCTCTGGAATAAAGTTTGGGTCACATGAAGAAGGCAGATAACTTTAAGATAAGATAACAGCTGTACTTGTATGTCAACATGGCATGGAATCACACATTGTTCATTTGAAATGTCTTCTATCAATGGTTCCCTCTTCTTTTTGTGGATGGTGTCCACACAGTTGCTTTTGATTTAATGTACCATATCTCAGTCCTTGAAAAATACTTAAGAAATTAATACAGTTATGGAAATGTTGAAATAGCAGTTTGATAGTCACACATTTGGGTTGTAGTACAGGATGAGGCGACACTTGTGTAGGCTGATCAACGGGCAGTGCAGGTGCACTTGGCTGCTTCTGATGCTGGTAAGCCTGACCAGTCTGTTTTCTGGAAACTTAAACTGATGAACAGGATGGTCGTATTCAGGGGGCATCTCTCAGTGGCATAGCTGGAGCAGAGGCTAAATTTCTCACAACACAGTCTCACTAGTATGTCACCCAGGGGCTACAAAGTTGGGAAATTGTTTCTGTTTGCATCTGCATTAAGTTTGGTTCTGGTATTACCATTCTCTGCTACAAAAGCATCCCAGCAATCTATATTCCATCTTTACAAGCTACCTAATAGAAATATATTAAAATACAAATCTTCAGCACTTGTGCCAGGAACAAATCTGTTGACAAGGAGATAGAATGATTCTAATAATGTAGTTCCCCTTGCACATACTAATACTTATTAAGTGTGACCACTTTGTTTCAGAGTACCAGAAAGATCCTAGATGCAAACAAGATGACATTCTTGGTCACTCCAAAATTTCTGTATTCTTTCACTGTGATTATTTCATGTTATATTTATTTACAATTCATGTAGTTACAATACTTGATAAAGCTGCCAGTCGCTGTAAAACCATTATAGCCTAGATTTTACTTTTAACAATTTAAACAAAGTGGAATAAAACAATTCAGCATAACAACGATATGTGACTGCACACTCCACATTATGATATAATGATGATAAAGATGTTGTCATGCATGACCTTGACACTTCTAGTGTTGTGTCGCCAGTGAAGTACTAGTTCTTTCCTCATGATGGCCTTATCATATACCATCAATATCCACTTCTTGGAAGGAACTGATGGCTGTTGGGGGTCCTTTACAACTGGCTCACCAGGGGATTGTTGGTAAAATGAAATGTCTGCAAGGTACTTCAACGTACAGACTGCCCATCCTCACTGTTCTTCACATAGTTGCTTCCAAAGTCTTGTTGGGTTATTGCCAAATGTCCCTTAATGAAGAAGGCAGATAATTTTTACATTATAGCTGTACTTGTATGCCAATATGGATGGAAATCATTTGCAATGTGCCAGGACATACCAGGACAGGACATACATTTCTTTGAGCAATTGATGCACTGAACACTTCCTGTTGCCATATTGTTATAGCTATTCATGTTGAGGACCTGCCTCACTACTATTATATACCTGCTCCACTTAACCGTCTTCCATTACAGCCTGGATTTGTACAAAGGAGCTTGTACTTCTACAACGACGGGCAAAGTAAAGGGTAAGTTTTGGTATTTGTCAAAAAGCAAGTGATGGTTTTTTTTTTTTTTTGGGGGGGGGGTGGTTCCAGATTTGAGGATCATCCTTCAGTGTAGCTCTCCCTTTCTGATCAGTAAAGAAAAGGGTAGACACCCATTTTCTGTCCAGCTCTGGCAATGACTCATTCTGACCACCGGGTAACACAGTTTTGTTGAGGTTGGTGATGTAAAGGTTACAGGAGCAGTTGCTGAAGTTGTTGTTGAAAGTGACATTGTTGTTAAAGGTGACAATGTTGAAGGTGAAGTTGCTGAGGTTGTTGAAGATGAAATTGCTGAGGTTGTTGAAGGTGAAGTTGCTGAGGTTGTTGAAGGTGAAGTTGCTGAGGTTGTTGAAGGTGAAGTTGCTGAGGTTGTTGAAGGTGAAGTTACTGATGTTGTTGAAGGTGAAGTTGCTGAGGTTGTTGAAGGTGAAGTTGCTGAGGTTGTTGAAGGTGAAGTTGAATATTCAAGTTGTTTGATTTTGGCTCTTGATTCCCCGGGCTTTTTTAATAGAAAATTTAATACACAAATCTTTAATTTTAGTTTTGCATTTTTCCCACCAAAGTAAAATTTCACGAGATTTCTTGTGAGGAAAGGATTTAAGCTCATTTTGTCAAAATTCAGTGAAAATATTTTGAAAATTGGAATCTTTTAAAATAGAGACATTCATTTTCCAAGAACTTTTCTTTCTAGAGCCAATGTCAAACTGAATACAAAAGCCATCATGGTCAGATAAAGAACATATATGAATGTCAATTTTCGAAATTCTTGAAAACATGTTTTCTTGATGTAAAAACGGTCTAAACGACAGGCAACTTAAACACTTCTCCATGTATGAACATTGGGAGTTAGGAAATTTGATTCTGAAAGGATCAATAAAGTCAAAGTCATTTTTAAGACTTTGGATTTCTGTAGAGGCAATATTGTATTTCCACCTAACTTATCTAAATTAATATTTTCGACAAAATTAAAATTGCCTCCTAAAATTATGTCATATTGCCCAATAAAATATATATCAAGGCTTTTAATAAAATGTTTTCTCTCTTTTTTCTGCGTTGGGAGCATAAAAATTAAGAAGTTTGATATGCTTATTATTGATTTTACAGAACAAGGAGAGAATTCTACCCTCTTGGTCAAAAGTTCTGTTGATTAAATGAAAATTAACCTTTTTGCTGATAAAAATCCCAACGCCTTTGCTTCGGACTGAACCAAAATAAAAATACATCTGTTTGCAATTTCTCAGGGACTTCCTAAGATGCTGAATGTCATTAAATGAACAAATATGTGACACTTGCACAAAAATGATGTCAAAATTGACTAAATTTTCATTCAGATATTGTATTTTTGCTGGTTAAGCCATTAATATTTTTTATAGTTAAAATAGAGTTACTCATAAAATGAGAGTTAAAATAAATAGACTAAAAGTGTTTAAAAGGTTAGATGAGTCAAAAATCCCCAGGCAGGCACACTTCTTTTGCTTCTTGTTGCTTGAAGCCTCCTCAGAAGTACTACCTTCGTGTCTGTTTTTCAGACAAAAGGTTGGGTCTACTTCCATATCTTTCACTTGAGACATAAGTGAGACATTGGTAAAATCTCCTTAACCTCCTTGTCCAGATATATAAAATGGTTCCGATTGGGTATCAGATAGGGTTCTTGGAGGCCTTTTCAGCGACTTGACATGGAGTTAATCCAAGTTTGGGCTTGCCAGCAGCCTTTCTCGGGTTACTTAGAGTTGTTCTCATGTGTGGTTTGTGACAGCGTCTATAAGGCCCTGTATAGGATTATCAGAGTCAATGGGTTCAGAATCTAAAGAGATGTCCTCATTTAAGTCTCTAGGAGACACAGCTCTAGCTCTCAAAGCGTATGTAAGGCGACAAATGTGTTGACCATTGTGATCCTCCCTAAGTTCTTTGAGGGTTTGACATTTTTTACAAAACTTAGGACAGTTATATTCTTTGGTGGTGTCTGAACTAGGATCGCCGCAGCGTCTGCACTGTTGTATCATGTTAAGGTATTGCGCGTTAAAATTAATAAAAACACGACCGTTGTGGTAAATGTTATGGTACTGCGGAACCACTGAAATATCTACCTCTTTGTCCATTCTTATTGTTAAAATACGAACCCCTACAAGTGCATGGGACCAGGGGTCATCTCTATGTCAAAGTCCTATAACGCTTAGAGGAGTCCCAAATTCCAGAAAATTATCTTTAACATACTCTCCTGGGACGTCAATTGGGAGTCCATAGATAAAAATCCTGTGCAAGTATTTTACAAAATTGATACATACTTCATCGCCTTTTGATGTACACCAAGGTTCTTTGGTGCATTCTTTGCTCTCAGTTTCCGAACGAAATTTAATGACACACATATTATGGGAAGGTTCCCTAATAATGGCCATCAAGAGTGTGTGACGCCATTCTTTTTTTGATAAATATCTTCGATAAATGTCCTTTGAATGATCTGAAGTGGTTATTCTGCACATATGCTCTGACTTCGTCTAGTTTAAGTCCTTTATTTGAAATATTCACATTTCCAAAATTTTTGCCATTTTGGTTGACGTTTTGTTCACGTGATCTTGCAAGATCGTCCTGGTGGGTGCTGTTGTTGGTTTCCGAAACTCTGCTGGGGTCCGTTGCATGATTTTGATTTGTTTTTTTTATGTTCAGTTGAGTCACCTTTGAAATTACCACAAGACTTGCATATATTTCTGGTAGACCTTTTTACACAAGACTTGCGTACGTTTCCAGTAGACCTTGTAACACGAGGTTTCCTCTAACATCATCCTCACGATGTTTCATCAGTTGAAGGTAGGAGGTTTTTCTTTTGAGGACCACTGGCGATATTCACCAGGTTTGTACATTTTTGTTAGATCATCCTTTACATTTTCACCTCGATCAATGCTGCTACTATACCGCACTTTTCCTTTTTAGTTTGTCCCGAAGTATTTATGAGTGACTGAGCCAATTTAATGAGAGACATTGTTTCATATTTTTGGAAAAAACTAAACGGGAAGTGACCTACATACACTGGACGAAATACCCTAGATAATTCCCAGAGATTCATTCTAAATTGTGATGAGGATTTATATTGGCGAATTTTTCAATTTCGCCAAATTAAAGCGGGTGCCAAATTACCCCAATCTACAGTAATAATTTCTCATTCTATCGACCTGTACCTCAGGTTCATAGAACTTTATGAGATTAGTTCAGTTGCTCAAGTCCATATTTCTGCTCTCTAGGATTGCAAGATTGGGGATTTGATATTATATTGTAAATGATAGTCATCAGATCTGAAACAACTATTGCTAATGAGATTGCTCCCGAGCTATGGTAGTGAAATTGACCTAATTTTAAATCAATTTCAATGGCCCATGTCAAACCTTGTTAAAATAGACTATTTTGTTTCAACACTATTTAGTTGTCACTTGCAATTAAAGTACTTAAAAAGTGAAAAGAATTGAGTATATTATCTAACTAAAAAGAAAAAAGATTTAAATCAAATTATTAGATATCTTCCTTTAATTACATGCCTGTGACACTTTACTTTAGTTTTAACATTTATAAGTTATCAACTTAAGTTAAATAGTATTGTCAATACTGTTGCTATATTTATTAATACTGATCATAATGCTAAAGTTATGCTATTATATTTGAATAACAAATAAATCAAAGAAATTTCATTATTTTAATATTTTCTCAACTGTTTTTAAAAGATACTTTGAATAATTTGTATTCAGCATTAAAAACAATGAGATACTTACTTAACTATCTAATACACCCGATGCGTGAATAAAGGCGTATTTGATTGCTTTTTTTATGTTTTGATAATCCTTTACAATTTAAATGGGTACCATAATTTTTCAAAAGTCCCCTTTTTACCACATCCTCTAATCCCCATGAACGCCAAAATACATAGTCATGTAAATTTTGCTTTTGATAAAGTTCTTTGTTAACACCATTTATAATTATTTGTACGTTCAATATTACTCTTGTACTTCAAATGCTTCCAATGCTTGGATCTATTTGGAATTTTCACTATTAAAATTACATTTCTTTCAGTAAGTTTTTCTTGAACGATAGAAATGGCTTTCAAATAGTTTTCTGTTATTGTTGAAATATGAGAATGTACTGATTCAGTGCAATCTTTTCCTGCGTCGAAACAACAGTTACCTGCATTTTGCAAAAATACAATGTTAGGTCTTAAGGTTTTGAAATTCACTGTGGAATTATCCAAGTCATCAATATGTTTTAGTTATTACATAACAAAACCAACGTCATTTATAATGTTTAATTACAAGATATATTTGCCTTATGCCAACTCAGAATGAAGTACATATTTTCACCTCATATTTATGCATAAAATAATGTCAATATACATCTAAATAGTAAAAATAAAAACCAAAAATGCACTGAACTGAGTGAATATTTTACGATCTACTAAGAATTTAAACAGCACCAGCCATTTTTCTTATACTAAAAACCTGAAGTGCACCAAACAAAATACAATGAAGATGAAAGTCATATTCAATGGGATTTTGTCTAATTTGGTTGATTTTTTTCATTTGCAGTGACTTGCAAAGTGTGACCACCTTCTTCAAAGTTCCGGCTACAGTATAAAGCTGCACATCAGGATGTTCTTCGATATAAACAAGATTATGTTCTTGACCACTCTTGAGTTTCGATATCTTTTAACTATGAAAGAGGGGCATTCCTAAACTGACTACCATCTTAACTATCCAGACTAATCAAAAATGCCAAACTGCTGCCTTCCACTGGTCAGCTGTTACGGCACCATTTCCCATTTCTTAGCAGGGCAATATAGATAGTGTCACGTATTGATAAACAATTGGCCAAGCCCAGTTGAGTCACATGAAATTGCCACAAGACTTACATATATTTCCACTTAAATATATTTCCAGTCGATATTTAAAATAAGGTTTCATCACTTGCTTCACATAATCATCAAGTCTTCTATTACAGTCATACAAGGTGAATGAGGCAATGTTTTGAGATAAAGATCTGTTTACTTGTTGTAGAGGGAGCATAATACCCTGTTGCAGAGGGAAAGCTGGCAGAATTTGAGTGATTGTTCTCCCTGTCCTAAGCCTTGCCGTGTCTTCTATCAATGGTTCCCTCTTCTGTTAGTGGATGGTGTCCACACAGTTGTTTTTGATTCAATGTACCATATCTTTGTCCTTGAGAAAATATTTGAAGAAATTAATACAGTTATGATCAACAGGCAGTACTGGTGTACTTGGCTGTTTCTGATGCTGGTAAGCCTGACCAGTCTGTTTTCGGGAAACTTAAACTGTTGAACAGGATGGTCATATTCAGGGGGCATCTCTCAGTGGCATAGCTGGAGCAGAGGCTAACTTTCTCACAACACAGGCTCACTAGTATGTCACCCAGGGGCTACAAAGTTGGGAAATTGTTTCTGTTTGCATCTGCATTAAGTTTGGTTCTGGTATTACCATTCTCTGCTACAAAAGCATCCCAGCAATCTATATTCCATCTTTACAAGCTATCTAATAGAAATATATTAAAATACAAATCTTCAGCACTTGTGCCAGGAACAAATCTGTTGACAAGGAGATAGAATGATTCTAATAATGTAGTTCCCCTTGCACATACTATTACTTGTTAAGTGTGAAAACTTTGTTTCAGAGTACCAGAAAGATCCTATATTCAAACAAGATGACATTCTTGGTCACTCCAAAATTTCTGTATTCTTTCACTGTGATAAAGATTATTTCATGTTATATTTATTTACAATTCATGTAGTTACAATAGTTGATAAAGCTGCCAGTCGCTGAAAAACCATTATAGGCTAGTTTTTACTTTTAACAATTTAAACAAAGTGGTATAGAACAATTCAGCATTACTACGATATGTGACTGCACACTCCACATTATGATATAATGATGATAAAGATGTTGTCATGCATGACCTTGACACTTCTAGTGTTGTGTCACCAGTGAAGTACTTGTTCTTTCCTCATGATGGCCTTATCATATACCATCAATATCCACTTCTTGGAAGGAACTGATGGCTGTTGGGGGTCCTTTACAACTGCACTCACCAGGGGATTGTTGGTAAAATGAAATGTCTGCAAGGTACTTCAACGTACAGACTGCCCAAGCCTCACTGTTCTTCACATAGTTGCTTCCAAAGTCTTGGGTCATTGCCAAATGTCCCTTCATGAAGAAGGCATAATAGCTGTACTTGTATGCCAATATGGATGGAAATCATTTGCAATGTGCCAGGACATACATTTCTTTGAGCAATTGAGGCACTGAACACTTTCTGTTGCCATATTGTTATAGCTATTCATGTCGAGGACCTGCCTCACTCCTATATATACCTGCTCCACTTAACCGTCTTCCATTACAGCCTGGATTTGTACAAAGGAGCTTGTACTTCCACAACTTGTAGTGCATCCACAATAACAATGGACGGGCAAAGTAAAGGATAGGTTTTGGTATTTGTCAGAAAGTAAGTGATGGTTGTGGGAGGTAGTTCCAGATTTGAGGATCATCCTTCAGTCTAGCTCTCCCATTCGGATCAGTAAAGAAAAGGGTAGACACCAATTTTGTGTCCAGCTCTGGCAATGACTCATTCCAACCACTGGGTAACAATTTTGTTGAGGTTGATAGTGATTTGTGGACCGGATGTAAAAGTTACAGGAACAGTTGCTGAAGTTGTTGAAGGTGAAGTTGCTGAGGCTGTTGAAGGTAAAGTTGCTGAGGTTTTTGAAGGTGAAGTTGCTGAGGTTGTTGTAGGTGAAGTTGCTGAGGTTGATGAAGGTGAAGTTACTGATGTTGTTGAAGGTGAAGCTGCTGAGGTTGATGAAGGTGAAGTTGCTGACATTGTTGAAGGTGAAGTTACTGAGGTTGTTGAAGGTGAAGTTGCTGACATTGTTGAAGGTGAAGTTGCTGACATTGTTGAAGGTGAAGTTACTGAGGCTGTTGAAAGTGGAGTTACTGAGTCTGTTGAAGGTGAAGTTGCTGACATTGTTGAAGGTGAAGTTACTGAGGCTGTTGAAAGTGAACTTACTGAGGCTGTTGAAGGTGAAGTTGAATATTCAGGTTGTTTGATTTTGGCTCTTGATTCCCCTGGCTTTTTTAATAGAAAATTTAATACACAACTCTTTAATTTTAGTTTTGCATTTGTCCCACCTAAGTAAAAGTTCACGAGATTTCTCGTGATGAAAGGATTTAAGCTCATTTTGTCAAAATTCAGTGAAAATATTTTGAAAATTTGTATCTTTTAAAATAGAGACATTCATTTTCCAATAACTTTTCTTTCTAGAGCCAATGGCAAACTGAATACAAAAACCATCATGGTCAGATAAAGAACATATATAAATGTCAATTTTCGAAATTCTTGAAAACATGTTTTTCTTGATGTAAAAACGGTCTAAACGACAGGCAACCAAAACACTTCTCCATGTATAAACTTTGAATTTGATTCTGAAAGGATCAATAGTCAAAGTCATTTTTAAGACTTTGGATTTCTGTAGAGCCAATATTACCTTTAGATATATTTCCACCTTACTTATCTAAATTAATATTTTTGACAAAATTAAAATCACCTAAAATAATGTCATATTGCCCAATAAAATATATATCAAGGCTTTTAATAAAATGTTTTCTCTCTTCTGCGTTGGGGGCATAAATGTTAACAAGTTTGATATGCTTATTATTGATTTTACAGAACAAGGAGAGAATTCTACTCTCTTGGTCAAAAATTCTGTTGATTAAATGAAAATTAACCTTTTTGTTGATAAAAATCCCAACGCCTTTGCTTCAGACTGAACCAAAAGAAAAATACATCTGTTTGCAATTTGTCAGGGACTTCCTAAGATTCTAAATGAGCAAATATGTGTCTCTTGCACAAAAATGATGTCAAAATTGACTAAATTTTCATTCAGATATTGTATTTCTGCTGGTTCAGACCTTAAGCCATTAATATTTAGAGTTAAAATAGAGTTGCTCATAAAATAAGAGTTGAAATAAATAGACTAAAATTGTTTAAAAGGTAAGATGAGTCAAAATTCACCAGGCAGGCTCACTTCTTTTGCTTCTTGTTGTTTGAAGCCTCCTCAGAAGCACTACCTAATTACATGCCTGTGACACTTTACTTTAGTTTTAACATTTAAGTTATCAATTTAAGTTAAATAGTATTGTCAATACTGTTGCTATATTTATTAATACTGTTCATAATGCTATTATATTTAAATAACAAATAAATCAAAGAAATTTCATTATTTTAATATATTCTCAACTGTTTTTAAAAGATACTTTGAATTATTTGTATTCAACATTAAAAACAATGAGATACTTACTTAGTCATGTACATTTTGCTTTTGATAAAGTTCTTTGTTAACACCATTAATAATCATTTGTTCATTCAATATCACTCTCGTACTTCAAATGCTTCCAATGCTTGGATCTATTTGGAATTTTCCCTATTAAAATTACATTTCTTTCAGTAAGTTTTTCTTGAACGATAGAAATGGCTTTCGAATAGTTTTCTGTTATTGTTGAAATATGAGAATGTACTGATTCAGTGTAATCTTTTCCTGCGTCGGAACAATCGTTACCTGCATTTTGCAAAAATACAATGTTAGGTCTTAAGGTTTTGAAATTCACTGTGGAATTATCCAAGTCATCAATATGACCTCCTGGCTTAAAGTACCATGTTATTTTTGTTTTAGACTTAAATTTCAATTTAGGATTAGCTTTATAAACATTTTCAACCAAACTGCTACCTACTATAGCCTCCTCCATTTCATCGATAATATCAAAATAAAATGTTTCCTTTTTTACCCTGCCCCTGACTTCCTTAGATCATCTTAGAGTGATTTATAGTAGTCAAACATTTGTTTTTTCCACTTATTTTTTGTCTGGAAGGTCAGGTATCTCAAATTCCCATGCTGAAAATGCTCTGGCTGCAAGTGTCTTTATTCCCATTCAATTTTAAACCTTGCCTCTAAGGATCCCTCTCAAAGCCTCATTAGACATCATTAAAAATGTTCTCTCTGCACACATTTTTATTAATAAAAACTTAATGTGAAAACAATTGGAGTGGTCAACCCATATCAGCAGAGGCAATCTTGCCACTCTCAATGGCATATTTTACTATCATTGCCTTGCCCTCATCAGTCAATATCTTGTACGAAATACAGTGTATATAAACAAAGCCTGGGTATTTATTAGTCTATCCTGTTAGATGTCCTTTCTAAACCAATTCAAAACACCCGGTTTTTTAAAATTAATTTCATCGATATACTAGTGCTATAAATATTCTAATACCCTAGTCTTTTCTTCTCTAGATCTACTAAAAATTTAAACAGCCCCAGCCATTTTTTTTTTATATTAATACTAAAAACCAAAAGTTCTGAAGTGCACCAAACAAAATAGATGAAAGTCATATTCCATGGGATTTGTTTAATTTGGTTGATTTTTTCATTTGCAGTGACTTGCAAAGTGTGACCACCTTTTTCAAAGTTCCGGCTACAGTATAAAGCTGCACATCAGGATGTTCTCGATATAAACAAGATTATGTTCTTGACCACTCTTGATTTTTGATATCTTTTAACTATGAAAGAGGGGCATTCCGAAACTGATATTTTTGATTAGTCTGGATAGATGGTACAGTAAAACTGCTGCCTTCCACTGGTCAGCTGTTACTGCACCATTTCCCATTTCTTAGCAGGGCAATATTGATAGTGTCAGGTATTGATAAACAATTGGCCAAGCCCAGTTGGGTCACATGAAATTGCCACAAGACTTACAAATATTTCCACTTACATATATTTCCAGTAGATATTTTAACATAAGGTTTCATCACTTGCTCCACATTGTCATCAAGTCTTCTATGACATTTCACTGTGATTAAGATTATTTCATGTAGTTACAATACTTGATAAAGCTACCAGTCGCTGAAAAAGCATTATAGGCTAGTTTTTACTTTTAACAATTTAAACAAAGTGGTATAAAACAATTCAGCATAACTATGTGACTGCACACTCCGTATTATGATATAATGATGATAAAGATGTTGTCATACATGACCTTGACACTTCTAGTGTTGTGTCGCCAGTGAAGTGCTAGTTCTTTCCTCATGATGGCCTTATCATATACCATCAATATCCACTTCTTGGAAGGAACTGATGGCTGTGTGGGGTCCTTTACAACTGTGTTCACGAGGGGATTGTTGGTAAAATGAAATGTCTGCAAGGTACTTCAATGTACAAATTGTCCATGCCTAACCGTTCTTTACATAATGGCTTCCAAAGTCTTTTTTGGTCATTGCCAAATGTCCCTTCATGAAGAAGGCAGATCATTTTTACATAATAGCTGTACTTGTATGCCAATATGGATGACCATCTCTTTGTGTTTCAAGTTCCCCTTGGTTTTATTCCCTTTCAGGTCAGTAAAGAAAAGGATAGACATCCATTTTCTGTCCAGCTCTGGCAATGACTCATTCCAATCACTGGGTAGCACAATTTTGTTGAGGTTGGTAGTGATTTGGGGACCTGATGTAAAAGTTGCCGGAGCAGTTGTTGAATTTGTTGAAGGTGAAGTTGCTGAGGCTGTTGAAGATGAAGTTGGTGAAGTTGCTGAGGTTGTTGAAGGTGAAGTTGCAGAGGTTGTTGAAGTTTTTAAGACTGGATTTCTGTAGAGCCAATATTACCTTTTGCGATATTACCACCTAACTTAACTAGTATTGCCCAATAAAATATATATCAAGGCTTTTAATAAAATGTTTTCTCTCTTTTTTTCTGCGTTGGGAGCATAAATGTTAACAAGTTTGATATGCTTATTATTGATTTTACAGAACAAGGAGAGAATTCTACCCTCTTGGTCAAAAGTTCTGTTGATTAAATACCTTTTGCTGATAAAAATCCCAACGCCTTTGCTTTGGACTGAACCAAAAGAAAAATACATCTGTTTGCAATTTGTCAGGGACTTCCAAAGATTCTGAATGTCATTTAATGAACAAATATGTGTCTCTTGCACAAAAATAATGTCAAAATTGATTTAATTTTCATTTAGATATTATATTTTTGCTGGTTCAAACCTGAAGCCATCAATATTTATAGTTAAAATAGAATTGCACATAAAATGAGAGTTAAAATAAATTAGACTAAAATTGTTTAAAAGGTTAGATGAGTCAAAACTCACCAGGCAGGCTCACTTGTTTTGCTTCTTGTTGTTTGAAGCCTCCTCAGAAGCACTACCTTCGAGTCAGACAAAAGGTTGGGTCTACTTCCATATCTTTCACTTGAGACATTAATGAGACATTGGTAAAATCTCCTTAACCTCCTTGTCCAGATATATAAAATGGTTCCGATTGGGTATCAGGTATGAGATCCATTAGCTAAGGGGTCTGAGGGATAGCCTGGCCATTAGGCAAAGTAATATCACTAGATGATTCCTGAGATTTTGCCTGACCAGCAGGCGATATATTCTGACTAGATACCACCTGACAGCAGTTGAGGATTCATCACTGATGTTCGCCTGGCCAGCAGGTGGGGTAGAGTCACTATTGTAGATATCCTGGGGGTTTGCAGATGAAGTAGTTGTAGATGCCCCCTGACCAGCAGGGGGGTTATGACTAGAAGTAGAGGATTGGCCAGCAGTTGTAGATTGCACGATAGTGTTCTTGGAGGCCCTTTCAGCGACTTGACATGGAGCTAATCCAAGTTTGGGCTTGCAAGCAGCCTTTCTTGGGTTACTTCAAGTTGTTCTCATGTGTGGTTTTGTGAAAGCGTCTATAAGGCCCAGTAAAGGATTATCAGAGTCAATGGGTTCAGAATCACAATCAGAATCTGAAAAGGTGTCCTCATTTAAGTCTCTAATAGGAGACACAGCACTAGCTCTCGAAGCGTATGTAAGGTGACAAATATGTTGACTATTGTGATCCTCCCTTAGTTCTTTGAGGGTTTGACATTTTTTACAAAACTTAGGACAGTTATATCCTTTGTGCATGTCTGAACTAGGATCGCTGCAGCACCTGCACTGTTGTATCATCTTAAGGTATTGCACATTAAAATTAAAAACAAGACCGGCGTGGTAAACATTATGGTATTGCGGAACAGCTGAAATATCTACCTCATTGTCCATTCTTATTGTTCAAATATGAACTCTGTAAATGCATGGGACCAGGGGTCATCTCTGTTGAAGCCCTATAACGCTTAGAGGAGTCCCAAATTCCAGAAAATTATCTTTAACAGACTCTCCTGGGATGTCAATTGGGAGACCATAGATTAAAATCCTGTGCAAGTCTTTTACAAAATTGATACATACTTCATCGCCTTTTGATGTACACCAAGGTTCTTGAATGACCTGAAGTGGTTATTCTGCATGTATGCTCGAACTTTGTCTAAGTTAATAACACACATGATTTTGGAAGGTTCCCTAATAATGGCCCTCACAAGTGTGTGATGCCATCCTTTTTCTATAAATATCTTCAATAAATGTCCTTTGAATGATCTGAAGTGGTTATTCTGCATGTATGCTCTGACTTTGTCTAGTTTAAGTCCTTTATTTGAAATATTCACATTTCCAAAATTTCAGCTTCCTTGGTTCACGTTTTGTTCACGTGATCTTGTGAGATTTTTTTGGTGGGTGCTAATGTCGGTTTTCAAAATTCTGCTGGGGTCCGTTGCGTGATTTTGATCGTTATTCGTACTCGTTGTCGGTTTTGGGGCTCTGGGGTCAGTTTCCATTGTTTTTTGCATATATTTCCTCAGAATCAACACCTTCGCGTCTGTTTTTCAGACTAAAAGGTTGGGTCTACTTCCATATCTTTCACTTGAGATATTAGTGAGACATTGGTAAAATCTCCTTGACCTCCTTGTCAAGATATATATAAAATGGTTCCGATTGGGTATCAGATATGAGATCCATTAGCTCAGGGGTCTGAGGGGTAGCCTGGCCAGTAGGCAAAGTGATATCACTAGATGATTCCTGAGATTTTGCCTGACCAGCAGGCGATATATTCTGACTAGATACCACCTGACAGCAGTTGGGGATTCATTACTGATGTTTGCTTGGCCAGCAGGTGGGGTAGAGACACTATTGTAGATATTCTTGGGGTTTGCTGATGAAGTAGTTGTAGATGCCCCCTGACCAGCAGGGGGGTTATGACTAGAAGTAAAGGATTGACCAGCAGTTGTAGATTGCACGATAGTGTTCTTGGAGGGCCTTTCAGCGACTTAATCCAAGTTTAAGCTTTCCAGCAGCCTTTCTCGGGTTACTTAGAGTTGTTCTCATGTGTGGTTTGTGACAGCGTCTATAAGGCCCTGTATAGGATTATCAGAGTCAATGGAATCACAATCAGAATCTAAAGAGATGTCCTCATTTAAGTCTCAAGGAGACACAGCTCTAGCTCTCAAAGCGTATGTAAGGCGTCAAATGTGTTGACCATTGTGATCCTCCTTCTTTGAGGGTTTGACATTTTTTACAAAACTTAGGACAGTTATATCCTTTGTGCATGTCTGAACTAGGATCGCTGCAGCACCTGCACTGTTGTATCATGTTAATGTATGGCACATTAAAATTAAAAACACGACCGGCGTGGTAAATATTATGGTATTGCGGAACAGCTGAAATATCTACATCTTTGTCCATTCTTATTGTTAAAATATGAACCCCTGTAAGTGCATGGGACCAGGGGTCATCTCTATGTCGAAGTCCTATAACGCTTAGAGTCCCAAATTCCGGAAAATTATCTTTCACAGACTCTCCTGGGATGTCAATTGGGAGACCATAGATAAAAATCCGGTGCAAGTCTTTTACAAAATTGATACATACTTCATTGTTTCCGAACGAAATTTAATGACACACGTATTATGGGAAGGTTCCCTAATAATGGCCCTCAAGAGTGTGTGACGCCATTCTTTTTTGATAAATATCTTCGATAAATGTCCTTTGAATGATCTGAAGTGGTTATTCTGCACGTATGCTCTGACTTCGTCTAGTTGAAGTCCTTTATTTGAAATATTCACATTTCCAGATTTTTTGCTATTTTGGTTGACGTTTTGTTCACGCGATCTTGCGAGATCGTCCTGGTGGGTGCTGTTGTTGGTTTCCGAAATTCTGCTGGGGTCCGTTGCGTGATTTTGAATGGTATATTTACTCGTTGTCGGCTTTGGGGTTCTGGGGTCAGTTTCCATTGTTTCGTTTCCGGTAGAAGGCATAGGGTTGTTCTTAATCGTAGTCGTGGTAGACCTTTTAACAAAGGTTTCCTTACAGGCTCCACATTGTTCTCATTGGCAAGTCATCTCTATGTTCAGTTGAGTCACATTTGAAATATCCACAAGACTTGCATATATTTCTGGTATACCTTTTAACATAAGGTTTCCTCACATGCTATACATCGTCCTCATTGACCAGTCTTCTCTTGCAGGCAGGCCTTTCCAATTTGAGGCACATTTGAAATTACCACAAGACTTGCATATATTTCCAGTAGAGCTTTTAACATAATGTTTCCTCACTACTATTCATTTTCCCCATTGGCAAGTTTTCTCTTGCACGCTGACTATATCCAGTTGAGGCACATTTGAAATTACCAAAAGACTTGCATATATTTCTGATCGACCTTTTGATATAAGGTTTCCTCACATGCTCCATATTTTCCTCATTGGCAAGTCTTATCTTGTGGGCTAACTATATCCAATTAAGACACTTGAAATTACCACAAGATTCGCATATATTTCTGGTAGACCTTTTATCATAAGGTTTCCTCACATGTTCCACATTTTCCTCATTGGCAAGTCTTTTCTTGTGGGCTGACTATATCCAGTTAAGGCACATTTGAAATTACTACGCATATATATTACTATGCATATATTTCTGGTAGACCTTTTTACATAAGGTTTCCTCTCATGCTCCACATTGTCCTCATGTGCGTCTTCTCTATGTTCAGTTGAGTCACATTTAAAATTACCACAAGACTTGCATATATTTCTGGTAGACTTTTTAACATAAGTTTTCCTCTCATGCTCCACATTGTCCTCATGTGCGTCTTCTCTATGTTCAGCTGAGTCACATTTGAAATTACCACAGGACTTGCATATATTTCTGGTAGACCTTTTTACACAAGACTTGCATATGTTTCCAGAAGACCTTTGAACATAAGGTTTCCTCTAATGCTCCACATTGTCCTCATTGGCAAGTCTTCTCTTGCAGGCTTACTATATTCAGTTGAGGCACATTTTAACACAAGGCTTGCATATATTCCTGGTAGACCTTTTAACACAAGATTTGCATATATTTCCGTTAGTTTTCCACACATGCTCTACATTGTCCTGTGATTCTTCTTCTAACACAAGTGTGACCACCTTGTTTCATAGTACAAGAAAGATCCTGTTTGAAAACAAGGTGACATTTATGGTCACTCCAAAATTTCTACATTCTTTCACTGTGATAAAGATTATTTCATGTTATATTTATTTATAATTCATGTAGTTACAACACTTAATAAAGCTGCCAGTGGCCAAAATAGGCTAGCTTTTACTTTTAACAATTTAAACAAAGTGGTATAACACAATTCAGCATAACTATGTGACTGCACACTCCACATTATGATATAATGATGATAAAAATGTTTTCATGCATGACCTTGACACTTCTAGTGTTGTGTCGCCAGTGAAGTGCTAGTTCTTTCCTCATGATGGCCTTATCATATACCATCAATATCCACTTCTTTGAAGGAACTGACGGCTGTTGGGGGTCCATGACAACTGCACTCACCAGGGGATTGTTGGTAAATTGAAATGTCTGAAAGGTAATTCAATGTACAGAATGCCCAAGCCTCACTGTTCTTCACAAAGTTGCCTTCAAAGTCTTGTTTGGTCATTGCCAAATGTCCCTTCATGAAGAAGGCAAATAGTTTTTACATAATAGCTGTACTTGTATGCCAATATGGATGGAAATCAGTTGGTATGTACCATGTCCAATTACTCCACTGAAGGTTGTGACCAGAGGCCTAATTCATGAAAGCTCCACAAGCTTGTGTGTCCATAATTGAATGAACGCAAGGAGCACACGCGTCTCGAACTCGCAACCTCGTGGTTACAGCCCAAATCGCCTAGCCTAAACGTGCTAGCGCTCAAGCCCTCTCGGCCAACTCGACAACCCCAAAAAAGATTGTTTCGTTAGTCGATCTGACTGGAGGCAGCTGATGTTAACGCTCAGACACACCAGAGGAAGCACCCTACCCTTTTTCCCTTTGGCACTTGAGCTTATTTATTTCTAAATACACACACATTGCTCGACTGTCCTTAAGAACCCAGAGCGGGTTAATACCTCTGCAACTGAAAGCACAGACAGTGGTCATAAGTGAATAAACGCAAGGAGCACACGCATCTCGAACTCGCAACCTCGTGGTTACGGCCCCAATCGTAATGTATTTGCGGACCTATTGCGTGTTCACAATTTATTTTGTTACATCATATTCACAAAGCTATCCACAAATCCAGTAATTTCATGTCCCGTTAGATAGTTTTAGAATTTGTTGCTGATATGCGTTATTGAGTAAAGTTTTGAATAAAATTAGATCTAATTTCTAATTGACCTTTAACAGTCAATTTATCTAAACTGTAATTTTTTATAAGATCAGAATAAAATAACAGTAGATAATAACCCACAACCACAACAATGTATTGATGTTGCACTATGGGAGCCAATCCTTGAGAGGTACATAATATTCTGGAGAATATAAATACCTGCAATAAGGGTGGTAGTGCTGAAGAGCTTTTCTTTTGATGTTCAGTGTCATTTTTAAGCATCCTGGTAAAAGGAAGGCATGTAATACCTTTTTCCTGTTCCTGCTCATCATAAATCTCTAATGGATTTTGCCTGTCCCTAAAAACACATTCTCGTCTCTTTCTCTTTTCGTATACCAAATCATGCACTGACAGTGCAGCCATTATGTAAATGTGCAAGCGTTCTTGTGTTCATGGACTGTGACGATGATAAATAGCTACCAGAGGGTACTTATTATTCATATTCAAAATGTCCATAATTAAAGTTGCGGTGTTAAGCAACATTGAAAACCTTAAAAACTACTCATAACACACTTTTACATCCATATTTGAACGTCTATATCACATTCTTATTTTTATTTTTTTATTTAGAAAATTAACCTGGTGAAAGTATTATATATGGACTACACATGTACATATTTCCATCACTTAAGCTCCAGCACTTCCAAAGTACTTAACATTTTGAACTGGTCCACCTTAACTGAGAGGAGGATCCTCCACTTTAAAACAATTATGTACAAAGCCGTGAAAGATTTAACACCTATTTATATCTCAGATATATTTAGGCCATTCATAAACCCTCAAGCAAGATTGTTAAGGAAATCTCGAGATTTCACTATCCCTATTCACTATCCACATAAGTCTCCAATATACAAAATGATGAACCTATGGAATGATCCAGGATCTGTTCACTTGGAACAAAAGCTCTTGCCAACTATTGCATCTTTTAAAAGAACACTTAAATTAAATTTGTTCCCTGGTGTGTTTCAACTATTTGTTTAAAATTAACTCGTCAACAAGAACTTTATCTGAATAGAGCCAGGGTAGATTTAATTTTAAAAGCTCAGCTCAAAGCCCACAATTGGAGCTCAGTTGAGTCATCAAATTGTTTATGTGGTTCCCCTGAAACTTTTCCCCACTTCTTTTTCAAATGTCCTCAGAAAGAACAACAAAGAAATAAATTAATAACAGATACTTTAGGGATATATGGGGACTTATTAACTCATTTCAAAACTCAGCAAGACAAAATTCACTTTTTTCTTTTTGGGGATCCATCATTAACCCAACTAGAAATGGATAATCTATTTTCACTGATTGCGAATTATCTCATTGAAAACACAACCGGAATCTAAATATTTTCCTGCCTATGACCTGTTTCCATTTTTCAACATACTCACCCCCCAGGATATCAGCAGCCCTCCTATCTTTTGTTTCATTGCAAGGCATTCTACCATTTACAGGTGACATCCAGGTTAAGATGAATATTGTACTTTATTGTTTACTTATATGAGGGGACATCTAATGCTTACAGCGCTTTGCCCCTTGTAATTGTATCTAAATGACTTGTGCTTACAATAAATATGAAAGATGATAAAAAAAAACTTAAGCTAATGTTAAATGTGTTCTCAAGAGGATTGATAACACTGAATTTTCAGAGAGTGACTTACAGTTAAGTACAGAGGTTCCGCACGATAATGACATATTTCTCCAGGTACTGCAAGATATCTGCAGTGATGCTGATTTTGCGGTCCTTTCGTGAATTGGAAATTCAGTACTGCAGTGAGTTACAGAATTCAGCAAGCTTGCGGAGCTTTCATGAATCGGGCCTCAGGACATACATTTCTTTGAGCAATTGAGGCACTGAACACTTTCTGTTGCCATATTGTTATAGCTTATCATGTCGAGGACCTGCCTCACTCCTATATATACCTGCTCAACTGAACCATCTTTCGTTACAACCTGGATCTGTTCAAAGGAGCTTGTTCTTTTATAACTTGTAGCATATCCACAAAAACAATAGATTGGCAAAGTAAAGGGTAGGTTTTGGACACTGAGAGAAAGCAAGTGAGGGTTGTGGGGGTAGTTCCAAATTTGAAGATGATCCTTTTTCTTGCCCTCCCTTTTAAATCAGTATAGAAAAGGTTAGACACCCATTTTCTGTCCAGCTCTGACAAGGACTCAAACTAGGTAACACAATTTTGTTGAGGTTTTTTTGATTTGTGGATCTGATGTAAAAGCTGGAGTCACTAGATCTGCTGATGAAGTTAATTGAGGTTTTGTTTGAGTTACACAAACTTTTTATCAAGCCACTGAAGCTGTTGTTGAACTCAGAGTTACCTTTGATCTTGCAACTGCCGCTGCCTTCTTAACTGAATTTGTACAAAGGAGCTTGTACTCCCACAACTTGTAGGGTATCCACAAGAACAATGGACAAAGTAAAGGGTATGTTTTGGCATTTGTCAGAAAGCAAGTGATGGTTGTGGGGGTTGTTCCAGATTCGAGGATCATCCTTCAGTCTAGCTCTCCCTTTCTGGTCAGTATAAAAAAATGTAGACACCTATTTGATGTCCAGCTCTGGCAATGACTCATTCCAACCACTAGGTAGGACAATTTTGTTGAGGTTGGTAGTGATATGTTGACCTGATGTAAAAGTTACAGGAGCAGTTGCTGAAGTTGTTGAAGTTGTTGTTGAAAGTGACATTGTTTTTGAAGGTGACAATGTTGTTGAAGGTGAAATTGCTGAGGTTGTTGTTGAAGGTGAACAAAAAATATATGATCTAATCTCGGTTCAACATCAACCCCATATTTACCAAATTTAAATAAAATATTCCTTCGCAATATCACCTGTGTAGATAATTTATCACCCAAGTATTGGCCTTATATTATTTCAATAACAGAACAATAAATAGACCCTTAGTGAATGAAGAAAAGAAAAAAGTAGCTAAATACGAGTACATGTACCATATTTTTGACATATGTAAAAACTCTGCTAAAAACTAGGCCAGCGAGACACCTGTTGCCATTCAGAATACCCACAAATGTTACAACCAGATTTCTCAATGCATCAGTTCTAAACCTCATAAAGCAATGGACCAACCTAAGCCACCTGGTTAGAGATTTACCAACCATTTCTAATTCCTGACCCCTAGAGACCTCCAACCTGAGCACGGGGTGACTTTGATTGCACTTGTCCCTTGTCCACTCACAATTAAGCTGCTCTATACTGAATTCTATCCAATTTAGAAAGTAAATTTAAATTCATTGATGTCCTTATGTACATCTGGCCTTATGTACTCATGCATTTTACGACAAATTTTTCTAAGACACTTTTTGCAATATTTTGGCAATTGTATCAATTCCCTAGTGTGTGTCCGTGCTTTGTGCTTATTGTGGGACAGCCGCCAAATCCATATCCTCTTGACCTTTTTCACCACCAAGTTGCAATCTTCTCTCTATGTACATCTTGTGAAGATACGAATTCAGGTTAGACTAAGACCTCTAGCATCTGCAATGTGTGTTATTTGCTGAGCAAGTGCCAAACTACCAGCTTGATTGTGCTCTCTATTGGTTACAGCTCATTTAGCATGAAGTTTGCTATGTAAATTACTGAAACATGACTTGTGGTATGAAGCCTGTATTGCAATTACATAACCTTTACTTAACTTTCCAAGAAGATTATCATTCTGCAATATTCCAGCATATCCTCTCAGTCTTATCAATAGGAAATGTGGATGCCTTATGAGTGGCACCACTTAAGACATTGTATGATTGTGATATTGTTTCTCATGATGAGATGTATCTCCTAGTGTATTTATTGAGTAGAGTGTTGGTAATTGTACCTTTCAGCCATTTTCTTTTTATCTTCACTGCTTTTAAATTTAAGCCTGCATTTATTGTGTAGTTTTGCATTGTTCTCTTTGAGGTTTGACTCTTTTTAATTTTTTGTTTGTGCAATGTAGTGTTAATGAATGTGTTCTAGCATGGAGGTGATACCATCTAAAAGTCTATTTTATGCTGTCTATTTTTACCAAATAACACATGATATTAAAGTTGTTTAGTTTAACGATGCTTTGTACATATTTATTTCTATGTATCGTCTTTAAAATAGTGTGTCAACACTGTTTCTATAAAGAGAAGTATTGTTGACATTTTTTGTTTTTAAGGGCAAAGTCATTTCTTATTTTTTTATTCACATTCGTAACATAACATTATTGATCATTTATTTAATATTGTTCATCCCGGTGCATCATGTTGCAATTCATAAAGTTGCCTATCAAAAACTTACAATTTTTACCAGTCATTATGCAGATGAGAGGGAATGTGAAAAGAAGGGTACAGCCTGCACGGATGAAATACTTACAGACCGGGGGTATTGTTCAAGAATATACCCCAGGTGAAACAGTCATAATTGAAGAGTTGTTCTTGAGAATTTTCATTTCAATAGAGAGTTTATATCATTTCGAAATATAATGCTTGTGTCATTTAGCTCTTTTTACAACAAATTCAAAGTCAACAAAATAAAAGATTCTGTGACATTTCTGTTAATATTTTTTATGGTCATTGGAACTAATATGGAATTAGAATGTAGAACTTTATCTTCACATTTGTGCAGATATTGCTTAATTAAGTGATAAAGTTAACTTACAGATGAAAATTCTGATCATGGTACTACTAAATCATATTTAACTTCACCTGTTTATGCCTTATTATTGTCTTCGTCTGTTTTATATCACAGCCCCCATATTACATTACCATGTTCAAGGATAAGTCTGACCAAGGCTTTTTAGAGTTTAAGTTTTCAAGCTGGTGTATGGCAACAATGTTTAGATCTTTATCATCATTTTTCACCTTAGATCTATAGGTGTGTGTCACCTTTCTCAGAACTGCATGAACTTAGAAATCTTAGAAATTAACTGCTCTAGGTAGCTCTCATTAATGCTCGTAAAATTAGTAGTATTGCTGGAATACTACTTTTGTACTTCTTGCCTTTAAGTAAGTGGTCAATTGAGTTTGAACCATGAATGGAAGGGTCACTCAAACCCTTCAATCCCATATCTCCTCAGAATTTCCAATAAATCCTCATCGTGTGAGGAATGTGCCTAGTCATAAAAATATGGCTCAAAATCACTGTATTTTTTCCCCATTGCTGGCCAATTGTTTGGATGGAAAACTTTTGACAATAGTTTACTCTATCCCCTGTTATACATATAGCAATGCACACTTGTCATGTCATTTTTGGATTGGCATCAATATTTGGAATATAATAATATGTGTTTCTTCCTCCCTTGATTTATATTTCAACATAACCCAAGTGAAGTCTTTATATGAAACAATTTCTTATGGACTATTTGAAATGGATATGAACTCCTTCATTTATTGACCTTTCCGTTTGTTGATGGGGATAGTCACTAGTGATTGCGCTGGCCATTTTATTTTTTGAGTTGAAAAATTTGAGTCCCACATTTATCATAATTTTCTGCGTGTAAGAGGACTACAATAAATAAAAACATTGACAAAAGTTGTGTCCTGTTATACTCCATAATGTATTCACCTTTATTATGCCTATTTTAAGATTTACAACATGAATACACATTTTGAAGCGTAAACGGTAAGCCAAGCTATAGATGGCAAAAGCTTATATGCCTTTACCAGGATCATAGACGATAAACTAAATTCTAAAATACAGGACAGTACTGAATAGTGCAGTAGTATGAATGTCTGTACATAATACAGTTTTCAATTCTGAGGCCCTTCTGACCATGATAAGATCAACTTAATAATTTCCTATCCCTCATGAAATTCGCTTAGCTAGAGTATAATCATAACTTGCAAAGTGGGGACCATTTACATTGATCCTGATCAAGGCATCAAGATTCTGTTACCCAAGCCTGGCTACCCTTGGTTTTAATGTGATTCTAAGCACTGAAGCCCCTTTCTCAGGAAGCACTGTTAAGCGGAATGATCAGTGCTATACAAGCAAGGGTAGCAAAATCTGGATAGATGTCATTAAACTCTGTGACTACCCTTAGGAAAAAACCCTTGTTTTGACATGCGTGGAGAAAAAGGGTACATGTTCTCACTTAGTTCTACACATTTTTACTTCAATCCTCCCATGTGTGGCATGGAAAATTAGGTAAAAACAGGAGATGGTACTCTTGTTTTTACACACTTTTACCTCAGGGAAAAATGTGGGTGACTGTGGAGCAATGTGGGGAAATGAAGTAACTCTCATCTTATTTTTACTTAACTTCCCCACATTTTTCACACTGTGGAGGAATGTGGGAAAGGGTAGTTACATGGTTTTACATGCATTGTAGTACATCTTAGAGAAAATAGAGGGACTTAAATATGCTCTAATATTTACAGTTATTTTATTTAATATTTAAATAGGGTATAATTCTCAATAAGCCTAGTGGAACCCAGCTTGAACATCAATATTATTGATTTGACTTCATATTAAATAAACATGTACACATTTGTATCAAATGTTTTAACTTTATTTATATTTACATTGATATATAATACAATACATATATTTTTTCTATGTACAAACTAATCAGTATTTACAAATGTTTATAGTTTTTTATTAAGACAGTTATAGGTTACTGTAGCTGTCCATTCTGAAATACGAAGGTCTAGCAGGATTGAACAACTGGGTATGTTTGGTAAGTTGACAAATTTATTCTTAAGCTAGGGATAATAGTAGCCTTGCCCAATTTGGTATTGTTTACTCATCTAATTTTGAATTTTTACTTGAATTATTGATAATGGAATTAAAACAAAAAAACAACAAAAAAAAACACTCACTTATATTAGGCAAGGCTGGGATAATAACATTATTAGACTACCTATAATTTGTAGTATAATAATACATTGGCAATTGCAAAAATTGTGAAATCAAAATAAGGTATTTATCTGAGTTCATCATTTTCCTCCAAGTTGAGAGACATTTCATCATTATTCAAAATTAAACCAACTAATGTTTCATTGATGGATGATACAGATGTTGATAAATACCTTTATTGATGCTTACAGTGCTATACAAGGTCATTAAAAGGACCAATCTGATAGTTTTCCAATAGAACTAGTATTTACATAATATTGTGAACAAATGATTTGACTTTTTGAAAATAAAATAAAGGAGACAGCACTTTGCTTTTGTAAAGAAAACAAAATAGATAATTTGACACACAGATTCATAAAATATGCAACTTTGTACAACTAATATGGGATTTGATTTTTATCTGATTATACAAATGGATTTTCTTTGATATCTAATGAGAAATTGGACTAAGGAAAGAATATTGTGGGAAGATGTGGAAAATATGAGTGAAACTAAGAAAGTAGATAGGAAAATTTGGGGAAAGTGTGGAGAAATATGTCACCTTAAATAAACATTTACCTAGAAATGTAAACAAATCTCAGTAGTTGTTTTGTTTATCATTTTGCCTTGAATTAGAGAAACCAATATGAACATGTAGAATTGAAGTTTAAAGAATACATATAGGATTTTTATAATGCATTGTTATTGTTAAAGATTTAAAAAAAGATTTTTAATGTTCTATTTTAACAATTGATCATAAATGCATTGTATGTTTATTTATTTAAGTCTGGCTGTTTGATTGCTTTTGCAGAGTTCAAGTTGTGGAGATCATAGAAAATTAGCATCATAAATGAGACTAACACTCCCCTTTCCTTTTCATTAATTAATTGGATTAAACATTTAGTGCCTATATATAGGGCTCTCCAGAGTAAAATTCAGTCTTAAATTAGATATCACAAGAGCTAGAACACTGATCATATCACAAGAAACAGAACACTGACCAAAAAGAAAGAATTTCAAAACATTTTGACAGAATTAGAAATACTGTGTTCATAAAGAAAGAAGATGACACTCAGACAACTCACAAAAGAAAAAGGTTTGAATATTATTGAAATAATTAAAATATGGATTCAACTATAGGTTCATTTCAATGACATATTAATTTCAAACCATGGGTGCAACTATAGGTTCATTTCAATGACATATTAACTTCAAACCATGGGTTCAACTATAGGTTCACTTCAATAACATATCAGTCTCAAACGACGGGTTCAACTTTAGGTTCACTTCAATGACATATAAATTTCAAACCACGAGTGCAACTATAGGTTCACTTCAATGACATATTAACTTCAAACCATGGGTGCAACTATAGGTTCACTTCAATGACATATTAACTTCAAACTATGGGTTCAACAATGGCATATTCACTTCAAACCACGGGTTCAACTTTAGGTTCACTTCAATGACATATCAGTTTCAAACTACGGGTTCAACTATAGGTTCACTTCAATGACATATCAGTTTCAAACTATGGGTTCAACTATAGGTTCACTTCCAGTCAATGACATATCAGTTTCAAACTACGGGTTCAACTATAGGTTCACTTCAATGACATATCAGTTTCAAACTACGGGTTCAACTATAGGTTCACTTCCAGTCAATGACATATCAGTTTCAAATTACGGGTTCAACTATAGGTTCAACTATAGGTTCACTTCAATGACATATCGGTTTCAAACTACGGGTTCAACTATAGGTTCACTTCCAGTCAATGACATATCAGTTTCAAACTATGGGTTCAACTATAGGTTCACTTCAATGACATATCAGTTTCAAACTACGGGTTCAACTATAGGTTCACTTCAATGACATATTAGTTTCAAACTACGGGTTCAACTATAGGTTCACTTCAATGACATATCAGTTTCAAACTACGGGTTCAACTATAGGTTCACTTCCAGTCAATGACATATCAGTTTCAAACTATGGGTTCAACTATAGGTTCACTTCACTTCAATGACATATCAAACCATGGATTCAACTATAGGTTCACTTCAATGACATTAACTTCAAACCATGGATTCAACTATTGGTTCACTTCAATGACATTAACTTCGACCCATGGGTTCAACTGTAGGTTCACTTTAATGACATTTCAGTTTCGAACCATGGGTTCAACTATAAGGTCACTTAAATGACACATTAATTTAAGACTGAATTTTACTCTGGAGAGCCCTATATATAGGCACTAAATGTTTAATCCAATTAATTAATGAAAAGGAAAGGGGAGTGTTAGTCTCATTTATGATGCTAATTTTCTATGATCTCCACAACTTGAACTCTGCAAAAGCAATCAAACAGCCAGACTTAAATAAAGAAACATACAATGCATTTATGATCAATTGTTAAAATAGAACATTAAAAATCTTTTTTTAAATCTTTAACAATAACAATTCATTATAAAAATCCTATATGTATTCTTTAAACTTCAATTCTACATGTTCATATTGGTTTCTCTAATTCAAGGCAAAATGATAAACAAAACAACTACTGAGATTTGTTTACATTTCTAGGTAAATGTTTATTTAAGGTGACATATTTCTCCACACTTTCCCCAAATTTTCCTATCTACTTTCTTAGTTTCACTCATATTTTCCACATCTTCCCACAATATTCTTTCCTTAGTCCAATTTCTCATTAGATATCAAAGAAAATCCATTTGTATAATCAGATAAAAATCAAATCCCATATTAGTTGTACAAAGTTGTATATTTAATGAATCTGTGTGTCAAATTATCTATTTTGTTTTCTTTACAAAAGCAAAGTGCTGTCTCCTTTATTTTTATTTCAAAAAGTCAAATCATTTGTTCACAATATTATGTAAATACTTCGGACCATTGGAAAACTATCAGATTGGTCCTTTTAATGACCTTGTATAGCACTGTAAGCATCAATAAAGGTATTTATCAACATCTGTATCATCCATCAATGAAACATTAGTTGGTTTAATTTTGAATAATGATGAAATGTCTCTCAACTTGGAGGAAAATGATGAACTCAGATAAATACCTTATTTTGATTTCACAATTTTTGCAATTGCCAATGTATTATTATACTACAAATTATAGATAGTCTAATAATGTTATTCTCCCAGCCTTGCCTAATAGAAGTGAGTGTTTTTTTAATTTTTTTGTTTTAATTCCATTATCAATAATTCAAGTAAAAATTCAAAATTAGATGAGTAAACAATACCAAATTGGGCAAGGCTACTATTATCCCTAGCTTAAGAATAAATTTGTCAACTTACCAAACATACCCAGTTGTTCAATCCTGCTAGACCTTCGTATTTCAGAATGGACAGCTACAGTAACCTATAACTGTCTTAATAAAAAAGTAGAAACATTTGTAAATACTGATTAGTTCGTACATAGAAAAAATATATGTATTGTATTATATATCAATGTAAACATTTGATACAAATGTGTACATGTTTATTTTATATGAAGTCAAATCAATAATATTGATGTTCAAGCTGGGTTCCACTAGGCTTATTGAGAATTATACCCTATGTAAATATTAAATAAAATAACTGTAAATATTAGAGCATATTTAAGTCCCTCTATTTTCTCTAAGATGTACTACAATGCATGTAAAACCATGTAACTACCCTTTCCCACATTCCTCCACAGTGTGAAAAATGTGGGGAAGTTAAGTAAAAATAAGATGAGAGTTACTTCATTTCCCCACATTGCTCCACAGTCACCCACATTTTTCCCTGAGGTAAAAGTGTGTAAAAACAAGAGTGCCATCTCCTGTTTTTACCTAATTTTCCATGCCACACATGGGAGGATTGAAGTAAAAATGTGTAGAACTAAGTGAGAACATGTACCCTTTTTCTCCACGCATGTCAAAACATGTTTTTTTTCCTAAGGGTAGGACTTTGCAAAATTGCTGGAATTTCATGTGTTCTCTCTGGCGCTACTTAATTTGGCGATTTTGCCATTTTTGGCATATCGACAGCTATTTAACTTGGCGGATATGCAAAAAAAATCTCTTTTTTTTGTAAAACTGTCCTCAGATATTTTATCATCCTCACAATGTTTCATCAGTTGAAGGTAGGGAGTTTTTTTCTTCTGAGGACCACTGGTGATATTCAACTCGTTTGTACATTTTTGCTCGTTTGTACATTTTTGCTCCAGTCCATATTTCTGCTCTCCAGCATTGTACAATTGGGGATTTAATATTTTGTCAAGTGTGTCCAGAGGAAATCTAACTTCCAGATTGGCCATCAATTCTCTGAGGAATCTCATTGAAACAATAATATTGAGGAAATTTTTACATGTAAGTTCAAGACAACACAATGGTATATTATTATGTGGGATGCCCTATTTCTTAAACTATGGGGAATCTATCTACCTCAGCGATAACATTTAAAAAAAAGATTTTCACAAAGTTGATTAAATTTTGGATTTAAACTGTAGTTTTCAAGCATGATCTCATCTCAAGTATAAATCGATTTGGTAACATACACGATGATGAATTTCATTGAAGAAAGGATAAATGTCTACTTTAACAATGTATCCCAACTTTTTCATAATTTTGCACAGTGAATAGTGAGACTGATATATATTGCATACATTTTACCACATTTGTCACATTTAATCCCTTCTCATAATCTCAGAAGTCACAAGTGTTTTACAGACCAATGAAAGGGGTTGTTGCAGTACCACTAACTAACTAGCCAGGAGCAACAAGAAGACTTGGAACTTAATACTTTACTATGAAGTTAAATAAAGCGATCTGAATGATTTAGAGCTTGTTTGCAAGGTTAATGGTCACAAAACATGTGTCAAGCCCTGTAGAAAAATGAGCAAATTTGTTTTAATATATTTTGTCTTGTAATACATGAATAACTTCATTCAAAGATTATGAATAAATGTAACGATGAAGACATCGAAATAATTTTTTGCAGAAAAATATGTTGATGTCTTAATTTGCATTTACATTATTATTTACATTGTTTTAAATCTATTTGAATCGTTTAAACAGTCCCTGATCTAAAGGGGTTCAAACTACTATGTCAAAACAGAGACGCACCAGATAGAGATATGAGAAGTTAAACATTTAAGGTCATAGATGTACCCTCTATTTTGAACCAAATATATTGCAAACTTACATAGGTTGTAGAAATGATCCTCTGATTATGTATGTTATTTCTGAGTAATGTTCAAGGTTCACATGTTGCTTTTTTAAAAGTTTGAAAATGCAGGTACACCAAATTCGATCACAAAAATCCTCTATTCCAACTTTTGACTGGCGTATCATATTCATTGATGAAAGTTGTCATTGTGTATTTCCCATCTACCATAACGTATTATATTTTAGGTGTCTTGATAGCTGATACCAAGTACACAGTCTGAGATTAATACAGGGCCGAGGAATTCAGTGAATGTCTAAAATCTATATTTTTCAAGCCCAAATGCATTGTTAAGTGTGCCCTTATTAGCTATCCTTTCATAAGAAACTTGTATCTTAACTCATGATTCAAAATTCTAATCCCATTAACTTTGCATAAATATTTACCTGATCACTGACATGTTTGTTACCTGGGCAAGTTGGGTACACATACAGAGTACAGTCACTCTCACGGACCCCCTTGTATGCTTCAAAGTTCACCTTATTGTCTGTTGCTTTGGACAACAGTTGTCTATTCATTCCAGTTTTCTTTGTCATTCTGTATTTTCTTATTATCCGCCCTGATATTATGTTTTGTATGATGCTGTCTTTACTTTTGTTGTGCTGTCTTGTTAATTTAACTTCTGATATAAGTGCTTCTCCAAGAATAAGAGATCTTCACCTCTAACTGATATATTGCATAAGTATATTATAGATACGTCACACATTTAAAAAAGGGAGGTTTTTAGTTTGACAAATCTATTTCACATTTATTGATGAAGTTTCAGGATCTTCTATTTTGTATAATAAGGAAAAAAGACATCTAAAGGAGTGGTATCGATATGGTGAACTTTTGGAGAAATCATAATCCAATATTGCTAGACTAGTAACATCTGCTATTAACATATCTTGAACCACCCGGATTCCTTGACCTAGATAGAAATAAAAGTGAATCTTACCTAAAGTTTCTGCACTGTCCCCATTAGCCAGTGTTCCATTAGGGATTTTCACAATACAGTCGGACGTAGCACCTATCAATTGTGCAGTCTTTGTTGACAATATACTTACATTTGGACCTGTAATCAATGCAGAAACAATAACATTATCAAACTTTAACTGCAAATATCTTGATCGCTTGTCGCAGTAGGACCCTGTGACTAGACTAGTAATCGTTTCCCGATCCCTTATCATTTTGTGAATCACTATTCTTAACAAGTGGACATTTTGTAAATAATGTCCATGTGATTCACATTTCCAACAACAGTGAACACCCCTTTTTATGTTTATTTCCACAACCTCGTGGAAAATGATTCTGTCCACAAATCAAACACTCGATTCCGAAAGTTCAATCACTTATTTACTAATGGCTGGCTCATTCAACTTTTCTTCTATTTTTTCAAGTTTTGAAACAATGGCAGAAAATGAAAAGGCATTTACAGCATAATTTGTATCGACCATGACTGTAGAATTATCATTTTTATTCAATGGTTCACTTCACCGTTTTACTCTTTCATAAATGATTCATATTTCAGTGCACTTGTAAGCGCAGCTTTCAAAGATTTTGGATTATTTTATTGCACATGCCACTATATATCTTTATCATTGAGCGCACCAATAATGTTATCACTCTTAGAATTCAAAAGTTACTAGTTTTACTTACAGTGTTTTTAGTATGATTGTTTTTATAGTCCAGTTTGATCGAATATATATCAGTTAGAGGTGAAGATCTCTTATTCTTGGAGAAGCACTTCCCTTATAAAAAATTCAACCTTGAAAGTCCGAATTTAAACCGTTTCCATCAATCATTGAATACTGATTGTTTCAACTACTAAGATCAAAGGAAAAACCATTGTACAATGATAAGCAATCATTGTGCAACCATTGCATTCAACCAAGCAAAGTCAACTCTTTTTCAACGACTGCGCAACCATTTCTATACAATCATTGTTATCTGCAACCATTGTAAACTGCAACCATTTCACATTGAAATGTAAACGGTTGCAATATGTTTTGTTCTATGATTACATAGTTCAACCCCTGCAACCATCCTGAATTAGTATCATTCCAATAAAATAATCATTTTACCTGAATTAAAATTATCTTTAAGTAAGGATTTGAATCTACCTCTATTCAACAACAGTATATTAGGATATTTTTTCTGCAAGCATACATGCATGTTTATTATAGTAAATTACTAAATTCATGTTCATATGTTTCTTTCTCCAGTACAGATTTAGGAATGCGATACCAGACTAGTTTTCCACTCAATGGCATATGATAATTTATGTTCCCTGTCATTTATACATTAATAACACAATTAAAAGTACCATATCTAGTGTTTATTTCCCTTTATCTGATATTGCCAAAATGATGTATCTTTAATGTTAATTATGAAAAGAATTTAGCAAAATTCGAATTTTGTTAAGAAATTGACCAAGGAAAATCTTAAGATTTCCTCTAAACTTAACAAAATCACAAGATGAGACACAATGGTTTTTGTTCATGATCAGACTGATATATGATCAAAAGAAGCAGGGTATGATGTACAAAATAATGCAAACATGTAATCACAAGTAATAATGCATTCAGGCAGCAAAGACATAACAATTGGAAAACATCTGAATTAATAATTTCAGTAAAATTTTGTCGAGGTAGATGAATTATTGCTACACCCATGATATATTAAAAGATTGGTATGGGAACATATTGATATCGGAGGGTTTAGCTTAGGACCCCCACAAAAGTTTATATACAATGAACATGCCAGTAGCCAGCCCCCTTCAGCAAAATGGGTCTTCAAATGTTTCCATGTGTAGTTAACACCTAATATCAAGAGTATGACTCACTAAAATTTGAAAAATACAAACAAGAGAACTATTTTGATATTGACTGTATATTATGTGTGAAACACATTATTCACAACAGATTTAATTACCATGTTCTTTCTTGGCAAATATTTTTTATAACAATGCTCAACACAACAATACCTACTACATATTGATATTCTCATGGGTTTAGGTAAATCAAAATGCTTGAACAGCCAATTAAAACGGTTGAACAGCTAATTAAAACGGTTGAACAGCTAATTAAAACGGTTGAACGGCTAATTAAAATGCTTGACCAGAAAAAGGGTTCATAGTCCTAGTTTCTGTTATATCTATTTTCATCTTGTGTTATACTATATTACTATATATTTATTTTTATTCTCTATTTCATGCAGAGGAGGGGGGGGGGGGTAGTAAAAATTTAAATAAAAAGTGTTTTTAGATTTTTGAGGATTATTTCTTTATTCAATAAGTGCTGAGAAATCTCAAATAGCAAGTATATGAAACTGCAAATAATATTTTTAGATTTTTTTTATTTCATTTTTATTTAGTTTGTTTTTACCATGGGCATTGAATAGATTGAAAGTCCATGGTGTTACTGTATTCACTAGGGCAGAGCATTTGTACTGAAAAGTGTTTTCAGTTTAAATAATAAGTGTTAATGATTAAAAAATAAAAACCAAAAACAGGGCTTATTTTTCAAAACTCTAAACTTTGAAAAATCTGGAGGAAAATCTGGGAGATTTTCTTTGGCAAATTATTTATCAAGTTCTGTGTATGAAATAATTAAATTACATAGGATGCTTCCTTTATAGCAGACTCTAATCAAACTGAGAGTCACTCTGTAATAAGGTTTGTTTTGCTTTGCCAAATTATTTTTGTTTTGTTTATGGATTAATGGATTAATAAAGTTTCTTTAGACACATCCTGAGACTGAGTCTAACTGTAATCAGAGTTTTTTAAGTTATGTTTATCGACTTAATTATCTAAAACACATCCTGTAATGTCTGATTGCATTTTCTCTATCAAATCTAAAATATCAAATCAATAAACGGATTATTTTCCGATTGAAGGATTTCTTACTTCCAGACACATCTTCCTTCCTTTATAATTGTGATGATTACAAGGTGAAGTGTAAATTCCAAGACTTGACCCAAGCAAAAAAAAGTCAAATGTTTTTGCAATAACTTATAAAGTTTTGAAGGGATTTTGTAAAAATGATAGTCATGACAGCGAGGGGATTTAAGTTAGGTTCAATATATTTTCATTCACAAGACAAGTTTACTAAACTATTTCAGTACTTTAATCAAACCATTTTAATTCTGACATGTATGCATGAGATACATACATTTGAAATATATTTTTTAAAGAGCAAGATAATTATTTTATGTTGTATTGAGATAATATTGCCATAGTTTTAAAGGGTTGCATTCGATTGAAATGGTTGCAAGAAATGCAACCAAAATTGTCAAGCGTTTACAATGGTTACATATGATTGAAACATTTTCAATGGGTTTACAACCAAAATTGTAATGGTTGCATCGTAACGGTTGGCATGGTTGCATAAATGATCGGATCAATGATTGTACAATGATTGTGCAACGGTTTAAATTCGGACTTTCAAGGTTGAATTTTTTATAAGGGTTATATCAGAAGTTAAATTAACAAGACAGCACAACAAAAGTAAAGACAGCATCATACAAAACATAATATCAGGGCGGATAATAAGAAAATACAGAATGACAAAGAAAACTGGAATGAATAGACAACTGTTGTCCAAAGCAACAGACAATAAGGTGAACTTTGAAGCATACAAGGGGGTCCGTGAGAGTGACTGTACTCTGTATGTGTACCCAACTTGCCCAGGTAACAAACATGTCAGTGATCAGGTAAATATTTATGCCCCATCTTTAAATTGATACAGTACAGCCTCGTTCTGTGTTTCATATCCACAATTTGCATAGGCTTGTTGTGCCAGACATTTTAATTCCTGAGCCATTTGGGTAAAGGCTCATTTGGTTTATGGAAACAAGATTTCAACTGAGACTTGTACATCTCATTTTGGCATTGGGGTTGAAACCTGTCTTCCAATGACTTGCACAAGCTATCATTATCCGAGATAATTTTTCAAGCTAGTGCTGCCATCATACGTCACCGCTTTCTTAGCTTTTGTTACAGTTGTTTTGTCGGGCTTGTGTTTGCTATTATATCCAGAATACATGGCATTGATGGGTAGTTACTGGGCAGTTATTTGTACCTGTAGCATACATTCTTCCTTGACTATTTTCATTGGTGCTGGTACGATGATTCTTATCTAGTTCATCAACATACTGATACACATATTCTCATCCTTTCGCATCAGTCCCTACCCTGAATGTATTCTTAGTCATTTCAAGTAAAGTTTCACGTCCGTGTCTGCATAAATATAACATTAGTTCAAAGAAGACATTATTTTTGAGACCCACTGGTGTATTTCCATCAAACACATGAGTTGATTCTGCAGCTTGACCGTACAGCTTCGTTATATCTTCTGGTTCAGTGGGGGATTTGTGATCAGTTGAACCTGAAAGAATTCGTGAAATATATAGGAAGAATCATAAAAGTTAAGTGAATTGTTAGGTAAGTGACATGGAATGATAATACCTCCTTAAAACTGCCCAGATTTACTTACATTTTTAGGGTATTGTTTCACTTAAAATATGTTTGTGAAATATATAGGAAGAATTATAAAAGGTAAGTGAATTGTAAGGTGAGTGACATGGAATGATAATTCCTTCTTAAAATTGCCCAGATTTACTTACATTTCTAGGGTATTGTTTCACTTCAGTTATGTTTGTGCTAGGTTTGTGAAATATATAGGAAGAATTATAAAAGGTAAATGATTTGTAAGGTAAGTGACATAAAATGATAATTCCTCCTTAATATTGCCCATATTTGCTTGCATTTCTATGGTATTGTTCCACTTAAGTTATGTTTGTTCTAGGTTTGTGAAATATATAGGAAGAATCATAAAAGGTAAGTGAATTGTAAGGTGGGTGACCTGGAATGATAATTCCTCCTTAAAGTTGCCCAGATTTGCTTACATTTCTAGGGTATTGCTTAACTTCAATTATGTTTGTTCTAGGTTTGTGAAATATATAGGAACATTCATAAAAGGTAAGTGAATTGTAAGGTGAGTGACAGGAATGATAATTCCTCCTTAAAGTTGCCCAGATTTGCTTACATTTCTAGGGTATTGTTTAACTTCAATTATGTTTGTTCTGGGTTTGTGAAATATATAGGAACAATCATAAAAGGTAAGTGAATTGTAAGGTGAATGACATGGAATGATAATTCCTCCTTAAAGTTGCCCAGATTTGCTTACATTTCTAGGGTA